AAGACTGTCCAATCCAACAGCAATTCGACAGAACGATTCTGTGGAACCGTCTAGTACAGGGTCGGCAACCTGCGGCTCTTTACTTCTATATGCAAATATTTTTTATTTTATCAAAAAAAAAACATTTAAAAATCGTTCTGAATCGATTAACGAGGATTAGGCACTGATTCTATCTCTCAGCCACTTATACTCGCTTTTTACTGCACCCCTCCCCGTGACACGCGTCGTCAGTCCGTCGGAAGCTCTCGAATGACGCCGTCGTCGGATGTTTCTATTATCTAATTTGTTGTGAAAAACACTACTTATATATGAATAAATAGATATTTTTTCTTATGAATAAATAGATTAGTTTTTTTTTATCAAAAAACTTTATTTATGCGAGTACTATTTATTGTTGGCAGAAAAAATTTTGTGGCTCTTCAAAAACTTTGAAATTTTGTAAATTGTAATTTTGGCTCTTCCGACTCAAAAGGTTGCCGACCCCTGGTCTAGTACAATGGTATTCAAACATTTTAACAGTGCGACCCCAAGGTAATTTTCCGCGACTCCATTTGTGGTCACGGAAAATTACCTTGGAAAATACTGACCCATAGATTGAATCCCACTGGTCTAGTACAATTAAAACAGACTAAGTTCCCAGAAACTGTCCCGTCGAAATAGTTTCGCATCTGGATCAGTTCCACTTCCAGAACCGTAACTGGATTTTCCCACCTCTAAAAAAAAATTCATTAACATATTGTCTAATGTTAAAGGGGTCCACTTCTCATCGGGCAATCTGACACACTGCCCTAGCCAGTCCGCCATTCTTCCAGCTCTGACTAGTCTACTCTCGCTGCACGGACTACAGTATCCACTTACTAGTAATAAATGCTACCATAGTCCGTACTGTTTGGTGCGTAAAAAGTGACCGAATTAATACAGCTGATCATGCAGTTCAAACTGTATTAGTAAACTTGAACTGCATGCTCGAATGTATTATGACAGAGGTAGATTTTTCGTGCGACTAGGGCCTTTAAGAGCTTGCATAGGGACGGATATAGCAGGCCCCTTCAGTTTTTTCTGACATAAAATATGTAAATTATTTTGTTATTAATAAAAAGAAGTCTTAAAGATCTTTTTTTTTTTAAGAAAAATAACATTGTAGTAATTTATCAAGATAGAAAGTAATACAGGCCTAATCTTCTCCGGGCCCGAGGAAAATCCCCAGCTCTCCCCCTCTTGACCGCCCCGCGTGCGCACAAATACAGTGGCAGATACAAGGCGAGGGCTCCATCGACCAAAAAAACAAGAAAAAATAAAATAAAATTCGTTTGTTCGAACTTCAAAACGTTGTCTTTAAAAACACTTACGGTGGAAAATATGGTTTGTCGAACCGTCCGCAACACAATCGTGCTGCAGGCTACCTGTTATTAAAAAGGTATTTATTAAGTACTCAAATGTTCTTAAATTTCCCTTTGGGTACTTCTGGACCCGCTACCGACCAAATAATACTGTAGGAAATATTAAACTGATAAACTTGAGTAAAAATAGAGAGGTTGCGGCCGACGTTTTCAATGCGAAAACGTGTACGTCGGACGTTCAGCGCCGCTTTCCTATAAACCTAGAAGTTTGACAATGGTGTTTGAATAGTCAGTGGAATCACGCTCGACATTCCAAACACCATTGCCAAACTTCTAGGCCTTCAGGAAAGCGGCGCTGAACGTCCGACGTACACGTTTTCGCGTTGAAAACGTCGGCCGCAACCTCTCTAATAATCCTGATTCGAACGTGTTTAGTCAGTGACAGTAGAAGGGATTGCCGAAATATAGAATTGAGTGGATTTACTAAACAAAATCGTTTCACTAATTAAAATACTCGATTAAATTTCACTGTCCGCATATGGAAAGTTACCAAATTAGTTGCCATTCCACTACATTACTGGGTGTGTCTAAACGTGCGGTTAGGGTAAACTACATATTTTTCTGTTTAGATTTTAACTTCATATTCTAGTAATGAATTTACTATTCACGTATGATATTATGCATAGGGTTCCGCGAAATTTACGAGCTTTGCGTGGATCGTGGATCCTAGTTCTGGTGAACGCGCTGACCCTAGAAAAGGAATGAAATATAAAAAGACTTAGGCCCTGTACACACTAGGCGTTTTTCAACGCGCGTTTTAAAGAACCAAGAGTTCTATGTAGCCGTACACACTCAAACGCCAAACGCGCGTTTATAGATTTTTGTTAAAACGCGCGTTTTGCGGGCACTTTACGGGCGCTTTGAGATATATGTGCTGCCTTATAGCGACGATGGAGGAGCACACACAATCAATTACTTTCTCGTCCATTTCCAAACTGAGCCAGTGCTAAACGCCGAGCTAACGCGCGTTAGCTCGGCGTTAAACGCGCGTTGAAAACGCCTAGTGTGTACAGGGCCTTAGGGTGTGACTATGCAGATGAGAATTTAGTAGCGAGCGATATAGTTCTCGCAAAGGAAAACATGCACAAGTAGCAAGAAACCTTTCTGGCGTGAGCGAATTTCTGGTTCTCGCACATATCTGACAGGGTTTGATATTTATCAAGTCCCGCCTCTTCACTCCATATGCTCTCGCTCGCTCGTGTCTGCATAGTCGCACCCTTACGTTTAACTTTGTAGTTGCTAGAGCGATACATCTGAAACGCGTGCCTTCCATAAATGTAAAAGGTAGCTCAGTTCAATGATCGTGTGGAAATTTATTGTAGATCGAACACCATGGTGGGAGAAGACGGTTTCTTCTCAAGGATAAATTAAAGATGGTATGAGAACGTGTCGTGTTAACTTTTCAAGAATTACAATTCTCAGAGAAATGGGTGTTATTAACTTAGATCTTCGGGATACATTTCTGAGCAAACAAGTAATTATTCCAGGCCATTTTTTGATTGACAGATGTTTAACCAGAATACCTTTCCCGTGTAAGGTCGAACATCTGAGTTCTAATCTCTAACACTTGCTTTCCGAGATCCAGATCTTGGAAATCAATGGTGTTAGAGATGTGAGATGTCCCGGAAGAAGGTCAATGTAGAGATCCGAATGGAGATTATCAATCAAGAAATAAAAAAAAAAACTCCTTTCCAACTCGAAAAGGAGAAATTAAAGATCACGATTAAACAATGGAAGTTTTTTTATGTAAACAATAGAAAAGACTAAAGTCGAGGGAAACATGGCTGGAGAGGAGTCATATTTAGTCACGAAACTGACCTTTCCCGCACTCTCCAATCGGTTTCGAATTGTCACCAGGTGACGAGTCGGGACCAATGAAAAGGCGGCTTTATGGGAAAAAATTATAAACTGTGCGTTTCAAGGTCGGGAAGTTCTTGGTTCATAGCGCTCCTCTCCTGGAATTTTGTGCTCCTGTCATTCTACAGCAAAGGCTAGTTCGACGTCCCAGGATTCGTTTTGGCTAGCCCGTCCCTTCAAGATCCGCCCAGGTGCTCCGAGTCATTGGAGATCATCGATGAGAGTTGTGCTGTGCGCCCCGGGGCCATCGCTCTCCGCTTCACGTACGTTGGACGAACCTAAACGACTATCTGGACATTTGGACTTTTATCTTTTGAAAGGATTCGTTTCCCACCTTTGAATAGGCATTACGCCTCGTTATAAGATATTGTAAGAAAATTTATATATCTATTAAACGGTTTCAAGTGGTAAACTTGTCTCGGTGAGTCTTTCCACGCCCACACGACTGTTTTGACTGCTCGACTGTAGTGACACTTTCCACCCAATCGGTTCACCTCACAGAGATTAGTAACTCTTCGTCGATTCTGGAAAGCTTAGCATACAGCTCATAAAAACTTGACTTGAGGTTCAATTACGTCCTGTCCAGGTAATGTTGTTGAATGATGAAAAAACAATAATATACTTTTGGAGAACTTGTAGACCAGGTTGCACAAGGAAGAGATGGGTGTTTACGACCATGGTGAGAATATTTGACGATAAATTAGCAAAAAGATAAATGCTATTGTTGTATCCGTTGTGGCTACATGCCAAATTGTATAGTTAGATTTTATATTTTTATTGAATATATTTCCCTTTGTCTTCATTTCTATTGTCTTTCTTTCTGGAAGTTTCTCCCTACTTTTGTTTAACGGTGTAACAGCAGGTGACCCCTGAGTAACAAAAGGGGAAGGTGTGTAACCCCCAGGGTATAACGGGGTCCAGGAGTTCATTCTGGGGTGTAGTATAGGACAGGAAAGGACATGTGAAGAAGGCTCTGGGGTTGTTGAACCGAGTGGAGACCAAACGGGCTTTTCGAGGAGAAAAGAATACGGAGGCCAACGAAAACTGAGAAGGGGGTTTTCGTGCGTTTTAAAGTGTATAGTGAAGACCAAGAAAATTTCCACAGGAAAGAAATTATCTTTCGCCGTGAATCAAGAGGCTCATCCCCCACTTACTACAATTCCCCGTGAAGCACACCGAAATCATTGGGTACCCGACTTCCTTTTTCTCTCATCTTTATATTTCGATTCCTATCTTATCTTAGACCTAATTTTCATCTTTAGAAGATAATAATTAGCCGTAAGCTTAGTTATAAGGTATAATTGTATATTCTATAAGTAGAATAATCATTAATTAAACTATGAAATTGTCGCGTTATATAACTGGTCCATAAAGATTTTGTTACTGAAATTAAGAAAATGTTCAAGGGTAGAGATTGTAGCTGGCATCCGAATCACATTTCCGGTATTCTGTGCGCGAATTAAAGAATTTCATATCATAAAAGTTGTGTTTCTTTGTCTCCGGCATTCGCGCATCCCTCACACCGTTAAAATCAATTATTTGACTCAAATCTCAATAAGAACCAAGCAAGTAAAGAGAAAATATGTAATAACCTATTGGTAGAGTATGAAACATTCTTTAAAAGTGCATTTAGATAGTTCCTATGGTGGCACTTCCGGTCGCTATTTTGTTTGTCCACAAACAAGATGGCGACCGGCGCTGCTAATAACTATACCGGCATTCAAATAAAAAAATTTCACTCACCGTTGACATATTTCTAATTTCTTCATTTTCATCGGCAAAGAACAGGATTCGGCTGACTCTTTCGTAAATTCAACTTCCTTCGTAGGTATTTTTTCAAGCAACCGGTACGATTCAAGCTCCGATTGAGAAATTTCATACCCCAGAATTGTTGACCCTTCGCGTGATATTCGTCTCCGCCGGTCAGTTTTTAACACGTATAAGCTATTTGGTATCAATAGCCGCCTATTGTACATGCGAAGCATGTAGACGTGCGCTTCGGTATTCGCTATCACTCGCACTTCAGCGCCCGGCTGGGTACGAGCCCTCACACCCCCTAAAACTATATAACATTAAGTACTCCACGAACAGTCAAGTGAATTTACTCGAAGCCGGCATAGTTAAGTGGTCTAAATAATTAAACGCCATAGTCATAACGGCGCGACTTCATTTCGGCGGTCTATTAACACGCTACCTAAAATGTGAAATGGTTTGAACCTAATCTAGAACCCAGAATACGTGACGTAATAGTTTTATCCGACTACGACAACTATTAATTAAAACTGTTAAGACGAGTGTTGTAGAGATTTCGGAAGTGCCGTATAAGGACTATCTAAATGCACTTCTATCATTCAGACTTTACACATTGAGAAAATTAATTAGGATAATCAATTTTCTATACTTGAGAATGGTCATACACAGTATATAACAGTTCATTGCATAACAAAAATTCAATTATGTAATACGATTATCTGGAAGTACTGTACATTGCAAACATTACAAGTAATAAAACACTAATTTTTTTCATTGCTGAGAACTATATTTTTCAGATCAACAGATCCCATCCTGCGCTTTTTGCAAACATAATAGATCTTACATACATTCAGATTAATATGCAATAAATTTACTTGCGTATTGATCGAAATGACGTTTTTAGTTGTGGGTGCCGACTTCACAAGAAATGAATTTTATTGGAATCTCAAAAATAATTCACTTTCCTCCAAAGTACTTTTAAATTGATTGGATCCATCTTCAGAAAGCCATGCAGATAGAAAATTATTGATAAAAAATGATTCACTCCATGGGTTTTGTAAAAAGGTGTTACTTGAATTTTATTGCCAACTTCTGTTAGCAATATTCAAAATTATCAGTTTAGGTAATCTTAATTTACTCAGCACATTAGAAATAAATATTGTTTACCATTTCTTTAGGTAGCCTATTCATTTTATGTTCAGCTGTCGACTATGACAACTGTCAAGTGTACAATTGGAAGGGATATTAAAGAGACGTCATGTTTGTATTGTACTGTACATTGGCTCCTTAGGCTTACCTCGGGCATCATAACTTGGATCGGTCCCGACACTTCATCTTTCAATTTATTCTTTTTTGTTATTTTGCAGATATAAACATCATTGTACACAATTTCTTATAGATGTAATAGTTTTAGAAACTAGCAAAAGTTGTTAAAACATAGTTCCTATTTCATTCCTGTATGCAATAAATAAGTTTTAAAAATTTCTCGTGAATTGGAATTACTAATGCATCTAAGTAGAAAACACTTGGATTCCCAATTACTTCTTTTTCTACTAACAATTTGTTATTTTTTATATAATGTATAACTACTAACATTCCAATGTCGGCAATTTCATAAAAATTATTGTTGTAAAAATTCAATGATCATTCAATACTGCATTCAAAAATATGCAGAATTTGTTGATATACTGATATTCAAAATAGAATAGAAATTCAAAGATATAAGAAACTATGAGACCTGAATGATCACTTTTTACAAATTAAACATTGTGTAATTTCATGTAATTATAAAAATATCTCTCAATACAGTAATTTTATGTTAAGAGAAAATAGTTTTATAAATAGTGAACTAATCAAAAATGAAAAAAATTTTCCCCCTTTAAATCTGAAGGAAAAATTTCAACAGCAAGCTGATAAATCTGAGTAATCTGTGCATTAATATTTCTATAAATTATAACTTCCAATTCCATAGTTTTTTGTTTTCTATACACATCATCCTAGTAATTTAATACTGGCTATGTCACAATAAAATCTATATAACTAGTTCTGTAACGCTGTATCAACATTTTCTAGATTATGAGGGAAAAAAGAAAGAATCATTCGGTTCTCAACAATATATTTGATTTCTATTGTATCATTTAAAGGTACAAATATAAGGTCAGAATAAGCCATTAATTGCTATTCCAACGTATCATGATATTCTATCACTACGGGCCTTGGACTTACAATAAAGATCGCTACGATTCAATCTGTAACTGTTTAAAAACACTATGTCAGTTATTTTTTTTACTCGGCTGAATGGAACATAAGTAAGACCGATAGCTATCTCTTTTTTACCTATATCTATTTTGATTTTTGGAAGAGTTAACCCCTGTGATTTATGTATAGTCATCGAGTATGCTAAGGTAAGGGGAGTCTACGATCACAATATACTGCCGTCGTTCGAAGAGCGTGTTATGGGGATTATTAGAAACAGATTATCATAGATGAAAGGTTCCTAATAGCTATCGAATTCCACTAAAGTAAACAGAGGAAGAGCTGGAGGGCGAGCGTTAGCATATATAATGTAGCGTATAGTTCCTAGTGAACCATTGACGAGACCTCCTTGCACCCGTAAGCTGACTCTCGGCATGCTTCTGGCATTAACTGAGATTCAAATACTTGGAGAGACCGAGAGCTGAGTCATCTTTGGACGAAGGCAACGCAATATCTGTAGTGTTTTCAGATGCTATATAAGCAACGGGGCACCCAGTTAACTGCAAGTAGTCTTCGTTGCTTTAACTTGTTTGTTTGTTGGATATAGCTCTATTGCCGTTTGTAAATGATCAAAGTTCGTCTTTGGATAAATAAACGCTATCATGTAGAACTTTGGCGAAACGCCATATTATAGTATACGCGCTAGCCGTAACTCTAGTGTTTTTAAGATTCTTCTTTGTGTTCTTTGTTTTCTCTTTTCTGGATTTTTCCATCCTTCACTTCCTGTTCGTTGGAGGGGGGCAACACCGTTACGAGAACGAGGCCAGGAAGGGAGTGTAAGCCCCGAGGTAAACGGGGGAGACTCATTCTCGAAGTAGACGAGGAAGCGAGCGGACAAGATTCATTCTCGAAGTAGAGGAGGACAGCGGCTGAGTGATCCATCGAGGGAAGAACAGAGAAGATTCCGATCAAGAATTGTTTGCATCGTCGGACTGAAATACAGTTTCTCTCTCCAACAGGAAGATATCACATCCAATTATTTCGGGTACCCTTTTCTCTAACCTTTCTATACGTTTTCTTACCTGTGCTATACTATCATCTTTCCATAATTTAATCTTAGCTTGTAAGAGAGTTATAACCTTAGTAATTAAGTTGGTAGTTGTGCTCTATTGTCGCGAACCTGCCTTCGATGTGTAACACCACGTGCATAAGGCTTTTGTTTCTCGTGGTACACGTGTGAGGTCGAGTAGGGATTCGGTTTACTTAATTTCACTATTACCCCACAAAACTCAGTGGGAGCTTATGTAATTTTCTTTTGTCCACGAATAAATCCTGTATTTTCCCATATTTTTTTTTGTCCTTTCGGGGATCCGTGCACATTCAATATCTTAACAGCAGCCTGTCAGCTCATTTTGACTTCTGATACTGAAGAAAAACGCGACCTTCGCTTTGACCCCTATCTCCAGTTATACAAAAATGGATCATTTTTGAGAGTTGAAATTTTAATCAGTTCATCCTTGAGTGATGATGAGTCGTCCTAAAAAATTTCATCAAGATCGGACAACTCATCCTAGAGTTATAATGTTGACAAGGAATGTATGAAGTCAAGTGTTAGTCGTCACTCGGCTTCGCCTCGCTCCGACAATGAATCATTCTGTAACAAAAGACATTTTCTAACAAAGCTTATCTTAATATTCAATGGTTTCCAATTTAAATACCTGCTACATGTATCGTAACTTTATACATTGTTGTCAGTATTTTATATTCGTAAAAACTTATTCCAATAAAACTATTTTCTTTTTACATACACTCATTGACAAAAAAATTTAAGCACCCAAATAAAATTGCCGTTAATGTAAATCTTGACATGCAGTTCTCAAACAGGTATCTATGATTAAAATTTAATCTGAATGCATGTCGTGTAATGTTACCAAAATGCCTTGAAATCACTAGCCCAGTATATTATAAAAAACTTGTTCAGGTTAACTATTCAGAATTTTCATTGTACCTATTTGTTAAGATATTTTCAAATATAGGCATACCTGTATAATTCAGATATTAAATACAGCAAAGTTTGAGAAATGTTGCATTTTCAGGCTGACAGTCTCCACTGTTGGTCTGGAGATATCTTGCATGAGTCAGTCATTCATAGTGGTGGTGTGAGAAAAACCGACAGCAAAGCAGAACATTCTGGAAACCCTGCACCCTTGTTGCTCTTCATGACATGGTTGCAAAATCCTTTCCTATTTTCCAGGAACATAAGGCTTGGCTGTAGCTTTTCCAGAATGTTTTGGTTGCACTGCCACACTTCCTTGTCTTGCATACTTATTGCCTGTCAGCATCGAGACCAGATTAAACACGTTTCTGCCATCTACAAATCTGAGGGATCTGTCAGAGGATACAATGTGATACCTGTATGCTTCCATACTAACCATATTGCCACAGTTCCTTTAAAACACATACTTATTTCACAGCAAATTGTCTCATATATTTCTTTATTACCATTTTTATGTATGCATTAATAGTTTTGATTCCAATGCTGCCTCCTCCTTTATGCATGTATAGTGAAAACTGGATTATCTGAACCTGGACCAGAGGTCATTTGGATAATTGATAAACTTTGTTTTGACTACATTAAGCTCTGAGAATTGTTTCACAAATGATAAGTAATGTAATTACTGTATTCGAAAATAAATTAATTTATTTAAAATATAATTCAATGTTATGTTTATGATCTAGTTTTGTAGTGCTACAATTGACAAGTGATAGTAATTTCCAATTACCTGAATATTTTGGTCTCATATTCTGTGCTAAGTACAATGTTACATGTTCTAGTTTTTTTTAACTGTTTCGGATAATTGAGTTTCTACTGTTTATACATATATACTGCTGGCATGCTGTTTTCCATGCAGTACATGTTGAATGATGCTGGTTCAAGTGTGTGTGTAGCATATGGTATATATGGTATGCAAATTATATTCGCTTGTGTCCAGGAAGCTGAACCTCTTCTGGTTCCAAGCTTGTTGGACATTTGGTCCACTATTATACATATATCTTGAATTAGCATGTAAATTAGAAAATTCTTGTAAATTACTAGCTTATATTTTTTGGTTATCATTAAGAAGCTTAGCAAAAGAATTAAAAATAACCATATATGAATACAGATAATTGTAACCAGAACCATAAATTAGTTCTTACTCCTTGATAATGCATTTAAGTTTCCAAATTTTCAAATCATTCTTTCAATGAAGATTCTCCTTATAAATTTACATGTAAATGTTTATTTGTTACTTTTTTAAATTAAATTAATAACACAAAATCAAATAATGAAATTAGAATTTTAATGGTATGTCACATTGCTGAAAAAGATTCCAACATGTAAATTCCAGGGAACATATTTACACCAATGAACTGTCTAATTTCAATTACCATCAGTATTATTAAGATTACCAGCTGAAAGTTCCATATACACCAAATTTACATTTTGATGGAAATACACAGGCATCTACAGTGTTTTTTTAAATGACTTTCATTTGGTTTTAAATATGTTGGACATACAAAGGATACGGCAACTTTACCATTCAGAAACTGCCTAACATAAACTTGAAATATTTGAATTCATATCAAGCAATGCTTTCCATCTATAAAACTAAATAATAAAAAAAATTCAATATTAACACAACAATTCTTTTCCAATTGTGAAATTAATAGCAATTATAGAAATCACATTGAAGCATTAAATATCAATATCAATATTCTTTCTTATGTTTACTAATACTTCTTACAATTTCATAAATTTATGAAATCAACGGCCAATATCTCATTACAATAATATAACCCAGTTGTTGCTTTAATACTAGTGTTGATAAAACTATTATACCTCTCAAAAAAACAAATTATATTCCCATTATAATATAACGAATGTACATGGAAACTACTGCAGTATTCAAATTTACCATATAAAATTCTACTTGTTCTTAGCATGATATCTTCCATGAACATCTCTGCAAAATGTGTCTTTTTACCATTGGCCAAACAGCAAGTATTTCTACACACAAATGGGACTGAATCATATGATAATGTTGCTATACAAACAAAATTTAAAAGTGCATAGCAACATTACGAATTATCAATGTTTTTAATCCTTACACATTAATCATGCACACAAAATTCTTGCATGTTTAAAAGTATTATATATATTTATATATATATATATATATTTTTAACTTTTACTATTTTTAAAGTTGATTTAGTCCTCATCTAGATCATCATCATCTTCATCCAATCCAAAATCTGAGGTATGGAGCACAACTAATCCATCAAATGAACAAAGACACTTTTCACACTTTTCAATCCTACAAAGTTTTACAAAGCACTTTTTAATATGTTTTTCACTTAAATGAGATAACAGATTCCCTGTTTCAATACCACATTCAGTACACTGTTTTGTTTGTTCTTCACTTGATGCATCTTCATCTGAGGAAGGTTCTGTTGATGCTACCTTTGTTACCTGAGACATACCTTTGCGAGCAACTTGTGAAACTGCAGGTTTCTTTTGTGGTCGCCGAGAAGAGTCATCCATTGATCTTTTCATGGCACCACTGTGAGCAGTGTACACATGATTCTCAAATAATTTGTATAGATTGAAAGTTGCAGTACACACAGTACATTTATATGAAAGGTGTGCTGGTTTTAATATGACTTTATGAACCTGACTCATATGAGCTACCAGTTTACAAGCATATACACCACCACAAATTGTACATCTTCCACTATCCTGGCTTTTGTTGGCCATATCTTGCATGTTTGAAGTAACCAATCCATGAGCTCCTAAAAGATGTCTCTCTAACCCTTGATCTGTAAAAAATCTCCATTGACATTTTTGACAATTTAAAGGTGGTCGACTAGCTAGCATTTTGGGATGAATTTTTACTTTGTGAATGAGCTGCATGTGAATCCGAAGCTGATCTAGATCTTTTATATAACCATCACAGATTTCACAGATGACAAATCTACTCCCTGCTAAAATGTTACTCAGAGGTGTATTAGCTTTCGCCCCTTGAGGTGGATATGGACCTTGCAATCTTGGAAGTTGAGAACCACCAGGTGAAATCTGATGGACAGAAACAACTGCTTTAGGACCAGCTGGAATACTGGAATTTTCTGTTCCTCCTGATGCAATATTATGGAATAATGCAACAGGTTGTGGTCCAGAATTTGTAGGCGTTACAGTTGTATCAACTGACGTTAACCAACCAGGTAATTGAGAATTTAAAGATTTTTTATCCAAATATGGTACTACTTGACCAGATGCATTGACAACCTGATAAATTTGACGAGAAGGAACAGAAACAGAAATGGAGCTTTGAGGAGGACGACCAAGACGATTGCTGGAGGGTGTTTTGGGTCTAGTTATAACTAGACCAGATGGAAGATGTATACCTGGAACAATTTGTTGATTTTGTTTATGTATTGCAGCATTTGAATTTGCAGTGTCAGACAAAGTAGATGAGGCTAATTGTTGATATAATGGAATACCTGATGACATGTTATTTGCTGGCATTAGCTGTCTAGATCCTTTAACAGAAGTACCTTGAAGATTTCTAGAATAAAGTCCCTTTTGACCTTTATCTGTCCAAGTATTTGATTTAGATGTTGTAAGTTGTAATTCATAATTTTTTATATCTGTCATATTGACAAGTTTTGCTGTCAAACCTGGAAAATCAAAATCTGCAGGAGCTTGATTTCGAATATATATGAAATTTTTTTGACATCTGTTTACATGACTATTTGCTTTAGTCTTCAAATTACTTTCAAATGAACAAAAAGGACATTCATAAAATTGTGCAGGAGGTTCTAAAACAGCTTGTTTATTATGTATTGCTTCATAGTGAAACATAATGGATTTTGCATCTCTTGTTAGAAAGGCACAATAACTGCACCTGAATTCTCTTCTTGATGTGATGTGTGGCATTAAATTATGACCTTCCAAAACAATTTCTGAATCTGTATTGAATGGACAAAGTTCACATCTCATCATGGGAAAACTGAAAGGTCGGTTTGCTCGTTTTGCAGCCAAATAAGCCTCCTCATGTCTCTCTTGATTGTCTTTCAAAATTTTACTTTTACCATCTCTTTTCATTTGTCTTTCTTTTAATCTAATCATATCTTTATGATACCATTCTTTAACTCTACTAAGACCTAAGCTCATTAACAGTTTTCCTGTGGTTGAATTAAAATAATCTTTTGCATGAAAAATTTGTTTAGAAGTATGTGAAGAATTGCTTTTTCCCTTAGGCAAATTAAACTGTGGAGGTTCTTTTAATAACAGAAGAGGGGTAACTAATGAAGGACACTCTAATACAGCTTCATTTTCTCCCAGTGAGAAATCTTTTTTAGGTATTTTCACAGGAACATACTTACCTACTTTTATATATTTGTCAAAACCATCTGGAAGTTTAGTTTCATTCTTTAAATCATCACTTATCTCCATTTCAGGTGATTCATTTTCTTTATCACATGAAGTATTTGTATCTAAAACTTCATTTTCTAATTTATCAGATTCTCTAAAATGCTTATTATTGTTATTGCTGTCAAATGTCCTTTTCTCTGATTTGAAATCCTCAGAAAGAACATTTGGCAATGCATTTTCAACAGATATTACATTAGTTGACTCTTCATGAGAATTAATTGCACTAAGATTGCTAGATGATTCTTCATTCAAAGGGTCTTTTCCAGAATCAGAAATATTTTCACTTTGATTGGAATTGTCAGATATTGAAGGAGCTAAGCTATGAGATGGAAACTCTTCATTTTCACTTTCAACTTCAGATTTTGAATCAGTTTTGGTAGATTTCTCATTCATTATTTCAGACTGTTTTTCAGCATTGTCAGATGTCTGCTTTTCTCTGGATTTAGATTTTTTATTAAGTTTTAAGTCATTTTCAACTGTTTTACATTTTGTGTCATTAATTTCAGAGATGGTTATTGAATTTTGACATGATGTTTTTTCAATTTCAGAAGGCATTTTCTCATTTTCTACAGTAACTGAAGATTTCACATTAACAGTAATAACTGATGGTTGTGTGTTATCAGATAACATTTTTTTACCTTCTGATGTTGATATGTTAGTTTCAAATTGTTTATCAACATCTCCATTAAACTTCATTGATTCTTCAGAGACATCTTGTAACAACACAGGAACTTTACCATTTCCAAAGGCACATTTGCTATTCAAATCTTCTGAGATACAATCATTTATTTTGCACTTACAATTTGGTTCTATTAAAAAACATTTACAAGTTTTGGTGGATTCATTTTTATCCATTTTTGAGTTTTCTTGAAATTTTGTCTGTTGAGGTTTAGATTCATCATCATCTTCTTCAATGTGCCATCTTTCATCAGGTTGAAAATCGATACAAGGTCCAGAAGAGTCCCGAGTTTCTGCATTAACTTGATTATGTGATGATTCATGATCATTTCTGTGGCTGCTCAGAGTGGATGTCACTTCTGAGTCAGCACAGCTCATTTTCTATGAAGCCTTGGAAGCTGTAAAAAAAAAGATGACCAAATTATTCTTTACCATCAAACAAAATATATCCTTTATGTTAAAATACAATATAAAATAGTATCTTATTTTATGTAAAAAATATTTCAGGGCAAAAAAATATCATTGCAGATTACTGATTAATATTGTTTATCATTAATCAATATATTTCTTGAAGATAAAACATTTTTTGTTTATTATCTAAAATATATGTAAATTATTATACCAAAATATACGAGAAATCTAAGTCCTTCCATCAATATCAGATTTTGATCTCCTCCTGAGGTCTGCATCAGATTTAAAGATACAAGTTCTATAATGGAATGTATCAAACAGAACATCTGCAGAATTCAAATTTATATTATTAAAATTCAAACAGATTTTTAAAAATTCTAAAACATTCAAATTTAAATCAATAAATTCAAATAAGCTAGAAATATGACTAAACCAATCAGGAGTGCAAAGGTATGAATGCCAACCTTAGGAGGTTGAAAACATTCATATTTTGTTAATACATTATATTACTGGAAGGATTGAAATTTTTGTAGTGTGTTTCATATTACAGAACAGTCCAGTTTGCAGATGATTTTTCTAATTATTATATCTTTATAAACAAATGACCTTGAAATATAACCAACTACACATTTAAGCTTAAGAGTCACACAATGACAATAATCTATGCCTCTACTTGTTCCCATCACCAGCTATCTATCTCCAGTTCTTTTCTAAACTTAATAGTTATACTTTTTCCAATACATCATCCAGTTCTCAAGACAATTAAATAATTTCCCTCTAGTTTGAAATTTACAACTTTTCTGAGCCATCTTTCTCCATTCTTATAACTTATAACATTCTTTCATCATTCTTATAACTGCTCAGTCTATTTCAATTTTCACAATGTCTAGTTTTTCATAAAAATACTGTGGCTAATCATTGGCCTCCACAATATATCCTTTTCAGGATCTGATAATCTATTCTGGTTTTCTTTCAAAAATCAGCAACTGTATGGCTATCTTCCATGCATTCCATGTTTCACTCCCATCTAACAAGATCTTATGAGGTACCTGTTACAGATTCAAATAATATTGTGTGTGTGGATGTGTCTCAATATGAACCTTTATTAAGCAAAGAGAGAAAGTGCACTTCAAGTGTTTTCAAGAAAAATTGACATTAAGAAATCCTTAATGACAAGTTTTATGAGCTTCATTTATCAAACATTCTGTGGCTTGGTGTTATTGTTTCTCCTTTATGTTTGCAAGATTGTGGGATCAAATCATGGTGATGGAATTTTTTCCCCTCCAAATAATTGTGAAATTTTTACATAAATTAAATGAATAGATAAAATATAAGCCCACGTATTTTTTAATTATCTACTAGTAAAAATATGTATTAAAAACACAATTTGGTCCCACAGCCTTGTAAACATGAAGGAGAAACAATACTAACAAGCCACAAAACATTTGATAAAGCTCATAAAACTTGCATAAGTCATTGAGGATTTCTTAATGTTAATTTTTCGTGAAAATGCTTGAGAAGTGCACTTTCTCCCTTTGTTTAATAAAGGTTTATATCAAGACTTATCCACACAAAATATTATTTGGATTTGTGACAGACACCTTATAAGATCTTTTAAGTTTACAATACTTCTATAACAAACAAGATTTATTATTATTGTAAACATAATTTAGCAAATTTATCATGTTGTATTATATATTAAATTCATAAAAGCTGAGTTCCTACTCAAACTTCTGTTTTAAATTCCAAGCCTTTTCCTGGTCAACTTTGTACAATTTCACTGACCTTAAAGTTCCTTACAGTATGACTCTGAGAAAATAAAACAGCATTTCACTTACTATACACACATGCTATTTCTTCTCCAACTTTTTAGTTATTTTTTATAATTAGCAAATATTTTTTTAATTGCCAAATTATTAAAACTAAAAATACATTGCTTGTACAAGCTGACTGCCTGCAAAAATGTATGCAACCTTTCTTAAAACAGCTCTTACTTTTGTTACTGTAATATTGTTTATAATTTTGTATTACATTCTTTACCATAGTATTTACTTCACAATTAGTTTCATTAAGCAACAATTTTAATTTCTGGTTGCCATTTGTACAGAAAACATATTATAATGTCTGTGAAAAATCCCAAAAATGGTGTCATCCACGCATCATCAACGAAATTGAATTTAACTTTTAAACACCTGTAAACCCTCCAAATTGTAGCAAATACAGCCAAAGAGGAACAGACATGTCCAAAATGCATACCATCATCATAATAAACCTGTCTACCTACTTATGCGTGATAAGTTCTCTATAGAGCCAAAATTTAGTGCTAATACTTTCACAAAATAAAATGTTTTATTAAATTAAATTATTATTCATTAACAAATTCTGTATAGTCCATGTACAAAAGTATTTATTAAATTTACCTCTTAATAAATTTGCTGAACTTTATAATATTAATAAACTGGAAAAAATCAGAAATTGTCTTGTTACACTCAAAATTATTAAAATAAAAAATGATAATTTTAATTTAAATGGTATTATTTATCATTTTTTGTACTTTGTAAATTTTTGGAGAATTGTATGTATTCTTGGGAAAAATTTTGGGTCCTGAAATTTTCTGCACCCTTTTCCAGTTTGATATATAAATGTAATATAGATGACATAACATGAAGCATGAAAATTTCAAAATTAATTACAAAATTTCACACAATTAAATTAAAAACAACAGGTTCCATTTTTGAATAAGGTTTATTGACCAAAATGTAATTTTAAAACAAGTGTCAAAGAATTTTTTTTAAATATCAGATTCACAAAGTTCACTCTAATGTCAGGACAGGAATAAAATCCTGACTTCCCTAAACTTGTTATCAATGCACAACACATATAAGATATATACAGCAAGTGACAAATGTTTTCGAACTAGCTCACAACCACACGTGTCAAGCGAGACAAACTTTGTCGAAATGACATTTAATCCCATCAAATTCCACGTGCTCTGTTCGGAAGCATTCCTAAGCTAGTTGACCTGAAAAAGAACTGCAAGATAGTTCGAAAACGTTTGTCACCCGCTGTATATATCTTATACACGTTGCGTGCAAGTAATAGGTTTAGGGAAGCTGGGAATATCAGATTCATTTGCAATTATCAAATAACTTGGTTTTGATGTTACAATAGTGATATGATTTTCCAAAAGTTCAAATCTATCAACTGTGTATAATTTTAACTATAGTATTATAATAATAATAATAATAACCCAACATAATAATAATAGCAACCAATAGAACTTGACAGCATTTATACTACAATGAAACAATATAGAAGGTATATATTCTTGAAATCATAACACAATTCCAAATAGTCAAGGAAACACATAAGATAAAAATAATTTTAGTAAAATAAATAATGCATCATAATCATTATGAGTATATAAACAAAAAGCTTTAATTTAAATTCTGGAACATGTATGAAAAAATAATAGAAATTATTATAATACTAAAAGATTATCTCCTAATAATAATTTAAACTTATTTAATACTGATATCAAGTATCTCCTTTTGCAAAAATATTTAATTATGCATTAACTTAGTCAAGTTTATTTCTTTTCTATTATAATTTCAAAAGCTATAACACAACATCATCTATCCATCTCTCTCTTATGTATTGAAAAAATTTCAGTAATCTCTCAATCTATTTGTTGTTATGAGTAGCTTCTATTAAAGGCAATAATGATTATAGCAATCTGGTCAATAATCTGGTCTAGCATTACTTTGTATTATTCATTTAATTTCAGATGAAATCTGCTTTTGAAGATCTCTTCTAAATTCTCTACAATTCAAATTGTTCAAGAATATATCTTACATAAAATTTTGAAATCTTTCTCATTCACAAACTCAAAATATGTTGTTTTCCACGTGTCATCAGATTTCAATTACTCAAAATATATACTGCTATAGAAAATTTTTTCTGTTCTATATTATTATTAGGAACCAGATTTTTAGGTTTTCACATTTTTTTTGTGCAATGATCTTGCATTGAAAGTTCCAAATCTGCAATTATTTCATTGTATCTGGGGCAGAGTTATAAAAACCTAAAAATGCATATTTTAGTAATAAAGTCTAAAATGCATATTTGAGAATATCTTGGTATAAAAATCTAAATTTGGCATATTTCACCAAGTTCCTAAAAACTTCCCTAGCCAATCTCCCCTCTTCAATCCACAGGGATTGTGTCCCCTTTTTCAAACTGGTTCTCATTGGTTTGTTTCATGATTGAATGATTACATCCTGTTGCTACCCATTGGACACTTTAACAGAAAAATACCAGAAGGTGTTTAACTTTGGACTTTATTATCTAGGCCACACCTCTCCTCCTTCCTAAAAACTATTTACAGTGTAGGGCCATTAAGCCGTGGTGATTGGGGTTAAATATTTCTTGATAATGCATAAATTACAATAAATAATGAAAAAATTTAATGCGAGTTTTGCTGTTTCGTATTCTTTCAATGACATCTAGCTTTTGCTGAACATATGAAGCATGTTTATGTTTATTACTCATGACGTGAAAATTTTTAAAGCAAATATGATGTGCATGCTATAAATTCAAAAACTGAAGTGATTTACATTGGGTTTGTGACTCATTTTTATACAATTTCAAGTTTTATCAGATTATCAAATTAAAAATAATACACTTTACTTTAAATACGAGTCAATTTTTTGTGGATTTACCGTAGATTAACTCGGTAGCATTGTAAGGTGTGAATCAGTTACAATGGCAGTCTCCATAACACTGACAAAACAGATTAATGCTGTATTTGAATTTCATTGTAAGTTATTTTATTGTTTATTGATAAATAAAAGACTAATCTTCTATACATACCTCTTTGAAGTTATAAGCCATTATTTTAATATTTAATCCGCGATAGTACATAGCACGTCAATCACGGACATTCAAAATACCAAAACGACAGCTGTCAACACCTGTCTAGAGTTTTTGAGAGGCCATGTCAGGTCCATATGATCTATAGTGTCAAAAAATTGGGATCCAAGCTTTTTGTGCAGCTTAAGCAAATTCATGGATTACTGGTCCTACATTGTATATAATGAGGTCACTCTCATTTGTTAGTTTTCTACAAGCAGCTATAGACTACATTATAGGATACAGATTGAAAATACCAAAAATATCATCATTGAAATTGCCTATTTTGTGGTCCTATATTGATGAATTTGGAGGACCTGAAATATTTAGCACCGATGGGAAAGTTCTACATTGTGATGCCTGTAATGCACATTGTTTGCAGCAGGAAATCTCAAATTCAACAGCACATGCAAAT